TAGTTTACCGAATTTCTCTCATATGTAATTAAAAAGTATATAAGCGATTGAAATTTACCTTTAATAAAAACTAACTCAGTTGAGTTCTTTACTTCGAAAGTCTGGTAGTAGAAGTTGGTTCTCTAAATCGTTCATAATAAAATCGTTTTCCCTATTCTTGCTTCGTAGAAGTAAAGAGAGAAAAGTGTCGATTATTAATCAGAGACCCCTTTATATACTAAAAATCAAATAAACTTTGATCAATTTCGTCATTGTTAACCAAAAATCGATCCCCGTCATTGTTTTATCGTAACCACGTGACCACGTGACAATCGTTAAGAATCTTAACGATTGAAGTCGAATATCGAAGCCCCATTGTGTTAAAATATAAGAAGAAGAGTCTTCTTTAGCCCTCAATTGGATCACACGATATAACAAGTAAAGATAAATTCTTATCCAACTATTCAGTCGTGCCTAGCGTTGCAAACATAATTATTTTAAATACAAAAATAATTTTAATTACGAAAAACCTATTATTGATACAAAATTTACAAAAATTACAATATTTACAAAATTGCATTAATTCAATAATAGTATTGATAAATTGCATGATCAAAATCGTATGACTAATTTAAGCTATCACTATTACATACGTATAATAAAAATCAAAACAATATTATTATTAAAATCTCTTCGAACTTGTTTCTATTACAGTATAATCAACGAACTAGCTTCTACAAATTTATCTTTAAACATGTCAAACCAAAGTGATACGTATTCAGAAAAACAAAATAAAACGCTAAAACGAAAAAAGAAAAATTTTGGATTATTATATTACAAATAATGATATTGACGATCATAGTGCGACTTGCTTTTATTGCCCAAAGAATTGGAACAATGGACGTCCTGCAGAAATGGAAGCAAATTTTGCAAACATTTGCCCTAATGTTCCTAAAGTTATTAAAGAATATTGGCAAGATTCACTTTCAAATAAGGTTATTACTTACAAATAAACAAAAGTTTCAAATCAAAAATTTGATCTATCACAAAATGAACAAAATGAAATTGACAAAGCTATTTTAAAAGCTTGGGTTATGACAAATTCATCATTTGACATTATTAGCAATCTATTTATGGTTGACTTATTCAAACATCTTAATTCAGCATATACATCACCTAACCATACAACGCTTTCTAAAAGATTGTTAGAGCAAGAAACTGCGCAAATTAATTTAAAAATTAATGAAAAATTAGAAAAATGCAAATTAATAAAAATCATCGTGCAAATGTTATTTTAAAAGATGGATTAACAAACTTGCAAATTAAAGGTGGTGATTTAAAAATATATAGTAAACCATGTTGGTATTCTCTTTGGAATACAACTGATTCATTATTGCATACATGTCTAATATTTGAATGGGTAATTAATTTAATTATTATATATATAATATAAATATTTAATATATTTATTAATATTATTATTTTATAAATTTTATAGATTAAGTGTGAATATTCTAATGTTTTAACTAATAAAAAAGTATCAGATTATATTAAAGATAATGAATTATTTCAAACATGTAAAATAATTTTAGATATTTTTAAACTGATCAAGAATGCTATTAATATTTTAGAAGCAAAAACAGCAACAATGGCTGATTGTTATATTGAATATATAAAATTAGCTAGTGCAATTAATCAAATACCTAAAAAAAATAGTTTAAAAATTGATACTATTAATATATTTAATTATTGATATAAAGAGTTTGATTATAATACTTACTTATTTAGATATTTTTTACATCCTGGTTATCGTGGCTTGGGATTAAAAGCAAAAAAATTTGTAAAATTGCATCTGAGTATTGGCAAGCTTTAGGAAATGACAAAGAAACATGTTTAAATTTATTAGCTGATCTTAGGAAATATAAACGAAATGATAAACCTTTTAAAATAGAATATAAAAAAGAAAGTGAACCTGCACTTGATTGGTGGCTTATATTTGATGATGAAGATGATGAAATAACTTTAGTTCAACTTGCTATTAAATTGTTTTCAATAATGCCTTCTTAGGCAAGATATAAAAGAAACTTTTCTATTTTACAATAGTTTTATAGACATAATCTAGATATTAATAATATTGAATTAATGGTGAAAATTCGATTATATTATTTAACAAATATCAAAAAAGAATTAATTTACTATGGAAAAGATTTAACCTAACAGGAGTTAAGAGATTCAGTAAACAGTGCTATGATTTCTGATATCAATGAACATTTATTTCTATTGGATAATCAAGAACATTTAGCATTAAATAGTCAAGAACATTTACTATCAAATGATCAAGAAACTATTCTACTAGAAGTTGATAATATACTTTTAATTTCGAAAGTCATTAATCTTACTAATATATTATTTGACAGTGACAGCCAATTGCAAGTTAATAAATCAGCAAAAAGTTCAAATTCACTTGGAAATATGAATTATAATATAAACGATTTAATAAATAGAATATTCGAAATAAATAGTAAATTCAATTTGTAATTATATTTATATATAAATTCTAAAGAATTTATAGCACAATAGTGATAGATTAATATTTATAATATAGAAATATATAGATTATATTTAATTAATACAGTCACACCTTTCTAAGTGCATCCCATCGGGACCATAGTGAAAAAAATTAAAATTTTGCACTTAGAGAGTGTTTGCATTTATAGAGAGTAAAATATATAGGATTCTTATAAGTTGGGGCCAACCTAGATCATGCATTTAGAGAGGTTTTACATAGTACTTGCACTTAGGGGGTGTGCACTTAGGAGGCTGCGACTGTATAATGCTTTAAATTGTATGTACATACATATACATAGTTTAATAAACATTATAGGCTTTGAAAACTACAATAATTATTAAAAATGCAAAAATTAATTAATTTTGGTATTTTTGATTTTGTAATACTAAATTAATTTAATTATATTTGCAACACTACACCAGTGTGAGCCCTGAAATCTGAACTGCCTACTGCAGCTCTATATGACCTACTATCATGAAGTCAAGTGCAATATATCACGCTTGTTTAAGTTATTTATTTTAATGAATTTAATGAATTTATCTAATTTATCCAATTTATACATTTGTTCAATTTATCTGATAAATTTATTTCTTTGCATTTATTGAATTTACTGCAATACCAAATCTGTTATTATAAATAAAGGCCACGAAGGCTCTAAGTAAAATAAGCTTTGGGTTGCTTAAAATTATCATCTCTAAATAAGGAATACTTCTTACCTTTTTATACCTTAATAAATACCAAACCCAGATCTATTACTAAGTGGTATAGTAAAAGGTCTTCGTTCGAATAATTGTCTTGCTCATATATGAAAATTATACTAAACTTTGATTATATATACAGTTAATATATTAGATATCACTTTCATTAAATTTTATACTGATTAAAATTTAATGTACATACATCAAATATTTTTAATTTAAAAAGATTTTTTTAAAAAAAATTATTATTGATTTTCTTTGCAAAATAGCTTCAAATACTTTATTAGTTATTCATTTTTTTTTATTTCAAACCTTTGAAAAATTATTGACAGCTATGTGAATGATCAAATAGCTAAAATAAATGAAATAATAATTGATTATTCAAAATATAATCACTGTTTAAAAACTTATCTAAACACAAAAACCAAGCTTTATTGGGCTCTAAATACTTTAAATTTAGTTAAAATTGGAGTTATTAAAGAGTTAAATATTTAGTTAAATAAACATAACTGTGTTATCCTATTGAAGATTTTATGAAACATGATACCTCACAAAACTCAATAAGATTCTTTAAAATTTCATGAAACTTCTAATAAAAAATTGCTTAAAATACAAAAAACAATAAAAATTACTATAATATGAAATAAAAACCCTTCTTGTAAAAACAATGCTTTTCGTACTTTTCAATGTAGCTACTTTATTTTACAATTTTAATGTTATATACAGTACTTCAATTTTTAATTGACAGAGATTTGAAAGTGATATCTAACAAATACAGACTTAAAAAAGTAATATTGATTTGAAAATTTTTCTCTTACAAACCATACGTACTATTTTCATACATCTATCCTAATTTGTATTTCTGTATTATACGTACTATAGATAATAATAAAATTATTTCGAGCTTTAAACCTGAAATTAAAATTTGAAAGTGAAATTGTTTTGACTTACTTTTATTTAAAAGATGAAATTTTTTGATACTTTTTTTGAATAGATGAAATTATAAAGAATATAATTATATAAATTAGATTTGCTCTTTTTTATAAAAAAATTTAATTTGCTCTAGTGAAGACAAAATAGGCTATTTTTGAAAACCTATTTTTATAGCTTGTATAGTATATACTATTTTACTATATACTTACCTTTTTATGTTACCTCACATCATATAATTTAAGTAATTATATCAATACATCATGCCATATGTTCATTGATATTCTAATGTTTGCAACTCTAGTCAGTGATAGTAAATAACTTAAAATAATTTAAATGATCTAAATAACAAATGATGAGTTATTGAGTTATTTAATATATACTAATTTATTGCATATTCTATTGCCTTTTAGCCAATCAGAATTTGCTGCCAAACAAATTAAAATATAATTGATAATTATAGCTATATATTAAAGCTAAAAATTTTATTAAGTTAATTAATATTTATATTTTAAATACAGTTGTCTGAAATAATAAATTGCATATATTTTAAAATTTTTATATAAACTAAAAAGCTTTTATTAATTTACTTCCATGCTTTACATTTATATGAAAGTTAATAAAAAGTTTTTTAATTTATAAATATTAACTAACTTAGTTTTTAATATATATATATATAGCTACAATTATTAATTAAGAATGTAATAAAGTTTGGTATATAACTTTTTATATAAGCAATTTGACCAATAAAATTATTTTATATGCAAATGACTAGTGCTTGGCACAATCAAACAAAAATTTAATAGTTAATATTTGTTAATACTTATAATTAAGTTGAACATCAAATGATTGCAGATTAACTAATAGTATATATTTAGCTTTGGTTAATCTGCAATTGTTTGACGTCTAATTTAAACATAAGCATTAACAAGTATTTGATTGTCAAATTTTTGTTTGATTGTGCTAAGCACTACAAATGATCTATATAAATGAGCTTAATTATCTTGTTGTAATTTGATAATTTGGGTTATTTTATTTTATTTTTTAATATTAAGGTGACCACTTAGGTCCCCGGCACTTAGCTTTATTCAGATAAATACAATATTACATCAATTTC